TGTATGTGCCAAGGAATTCCTGAGACTCATGGACACGAAACCTTAAATTAAATGTAAGAAGAAAAAGATAAGAACAAATTATAATAGCACTGAGAGCAAGAGATTACAACAGGGTATTTTGTTAAAATGTGGTTTTTATAATATAGATTCCTGAAAATTGCAAATGTATTCTGTTATGTTTATGAGCCAACTTTTGTTATGCAGAGTTATAAAGGTTGCTATGTTTTCAGTCTCTATGGATCCAAATGATGTGAGTTATTAAAAAAAGAAAAGCAGGTTGATACTGTCAAAGTGGTGTTCAAAAGAAAAAAAAAATAGAAACCTCATCATTCTCCACTTGGGTAGTATAACATTTCTCACTGGCATAGACACCTCTTCAACTGTATTAGCTGCTAGGGAACAGTGCAAAATTATATAATTTAGACATACGAGGAAGTAAAATTAAATAGCCATGAGATGAGCATACCATTAAACAGATCTAATTTATAATGGACTTTTATGCAAATTGCCTTTGAGCCTTCAGTAAAAGAAAATGAAAAGAAATTAATAAGGACAGCTTGGACTAAAAAGTTGCCGAGAAAAAAAAAAAATAGAAGCCTTTTTGAGTTCCAGCTCACTCTCCACACACTCCAGAATGTTAAATAAGCGTTCCCATTAGCCACATAAATATAATGATGTGATAATAAAACTTGCACTTAACTTTTAAGGACCAAATTCCTAATCACTTTGCTGCAGTGGTTCCAACCAGATGAGTAAGATTTCAAATAAAATACATTTACTTTGTCTTGTGATTCATTACGGGAGGGAGAGAAATGTGCTTTCATGAGTATTTTGCTCTGCTGAATATCCACCCTCAGTGAAATCCAGGCAGTTATTTGCCTTGCCACAGTGTAGGATTGCAGGTTCCAGGGCATCACTGATGCTCCCCCTGTTGCACAGCCCCCTCTGGGGGGTTAAAAAAAGGACTTCTCACCACTTTTCCTCCCTTTTTGTTGTTCTGTGAAAGAAAGTGGGAGCAGGGAACCCTGACAGCTCAGAACTGTTGAAAGTAGTTTATTGCAAAAGATTTTCAGTTGGTTTGGAGTTTGTAGTGTCCTCTGATAAAGACGTTAATATGAGGAGTGATATACTGAATATATTCACTTATAAGAAGCCTGTATTTTCTCAGAGAAGAAAAAGGTTTATTTCTACCTTAGTTTGAAAGTGAGGTAATATCCTGCATGTTTGCAAACATCAAGGCTTGCAGCTTTTCCATGTACCCTGTATCCTTTTGATTACAGAAAGGAAGAATTTCAGCTCTCTCCAGTGAAGCCATTAAAACAATCTGCAGAATTCTTTCATTTTTCTTGGCATTAAGAGAGTTTTGCAATAGTTGACTTAATTAGTACTGGCCATCTTGTTCCTAATTATTGCTGCTTTCCCACATTTCCAGCTGAGGCAGAATATACTGAAGTGCAGTCTTTTCTCTTTATGTGTATAATAATAATATATTTAAATATTTATACAACAAGAGAGCAAGGCTATAAACACACTATGTATGCAGTTTTGCTGCAGACAGTATATTTTTATACTTGACAAGCAGGACTTTTTTTCTGAAGAATTTGAGAAATCCTGCAAGCAATGTCATCCTCATGTGCTAGCTTTTTGATATAGAAATGCTGTTACGGGAGTGCTGATCTGTGGGAAGAAAGATCCATCCCTGTAGTATTTTATGGAATTAAAACAATGATCTTTTCCATTCCCTGTTGTTTTTTCTCCAGTAAACAAGGGCTTGTAGCTATACCTAGTTTGTGTCCTTTAAATAAAACCAAATTCTCTGATGGAAACAGGGTTTTCCGCTGGTTATATTTTCAACCCTTGAAGCATTCGATTTCTGACAGTGGAATATGATACTTAAAGCCACAGACATTAATTATTACCCATTGGAGGTCGCACTTTCAACCCATGGGACATTAATTTTTCTGATATATGGAAAATTCCAGCCTGTTAGTTTTAATTAAATATTTCAGAAGCACATTTTCTTGTAAATGGACTGCAGTTTCTTATCCTTTACCCTTGATATTTGGCTAATTCTGCATATAATTATCATCTTATTTTGCAAGCCTACTTCAGAGCGCTTTCCTGTCTCAAAACTCCATTCACCTGTTATGCATTTGTCATTTAAAAAAGAAAGATGTCTTTGCCAATCATTAGCCAACATTGTCAAGAAGGAGATGGAGAAAAATATCATTCAGGTTTTCTTGGGAAGTGAAATTATGATTTACCATTCCCTTCTTGTGCCAGAAATCTGGTGTCTCCTAAACATGAGTAATCCCACTGTGAGATCAAGCAGGAGTGCCAGCAAAGCTATGGGTGGCAGGGAGGATGGTTATCAAATGGTATTGTACAGAGGGGGTGACAAGTGAGGCATGAGAAAATGCTTCCCACTGTGCCCCCAGGAACCCAAGAGTTCCTGGTGTGGCTGGAAGGTGAGGATGCTGGTTGTTCCCCAAATCCTGGTATAGCCCAATCTCCTGTCCTGATGGGTATAGCAAATGCAGATTAGGAGCAGAACTGTGTCACCAGATTTGGATCCCACAGTATCCAAAGTTTTTTCCCTGAAGGACATATGAAGGAAGCTGGAATCTACATTTTTTCCATCTGGAAAGGAAAAAAGTGTTTATTTTTTTACAGAAATTAATTAATTTTCTTTACAGAAGTCTCTCTGCTGGGGGTCTACCCTTCCAATGCTGTTTTAATATGTGAAAGTGCAGTTGTGTATTGCAGAGTGATCGTGGGGGGGGGGTGGAGTCAGGAGGGAGTTGTGACTTTGCAGTTCCTGGGATTTTTTTGCTGCTGCTGCTGCTGCTGCAGAGTAGCAGAGCACTAAGGCAGCACTTTCTGTCAACACTTCCTGCCCTTTCCCAAAGCCATTCAGGTCCCAGGTAGCACACCCTGTGGCTGAGCGCTCTCCTCAGCATTATGGCTTTGTCAGAAGGCTCCATCCTCTGATACTATCTTGCTCTTCTCTAAACAATTAATAAAATGGAGACAAAAAGCCTAGAGGTTTAAAATATGTAATTATATAAGTAATTTAGAACTAGGAAAATGCTGCAGAAACCAATTACAATTATACATTTCAGTAATGACTGACTTGGCCAAATACATGTTTTGTGTGTGAATTCCGTGATAAATTTGAAGATGACATGCTTGAGTATAAGGGAAAATTAATTCTAAATGCTGAGTGCTTCCATATTAGACATAAAATGTGGCTCATACACCAGGTGAAGAGGAGCCTGCGTTCTATGGGCTGTCACAGCTTAAATTTTGAGCAGCAGGGCAGGCAGTAACAAGTCTTTGAGGAAGAAAGCTTGAATAGTTCAAGGGATGGCTTTGAAAAAAAAAAAGTGTTCTGTACCTGCTCATGATGCAAAATACATTTAATTCCTTATATGTTACAGATTTCATGCAACTTGAATTGATTCAGACGTTTATTAGTGAATTGTAAATGACCAGCTGGGGTTAATGGAGTTTTATTTCTTTCCTGGTCTCCTCCCAGCTGGTGAAAACTATAGATGAGATTTGTATTCTGTTCACAACTTATCTATATAGATATATATATATATACCGGCTCCAGGCACAGACATCATTCCAAACTCAATTTGGGCTGCCTGTGCCATTTTCAAAGGGAAGATATTTGGCTGTTGATACAACACAGTGTATGGTCACCTGGAGCCCTGCCCCTCTGCAGTTCCCTGAGACCGTGCTGCAAGCCCTGCTGCCTCCCACCTCTTGAACACCTTCCTGACATCCCCTTCTGCTGGCCAGTGGATGGGGCATCTCTCAGCCTGGGGGGCTTTCTGCAGCCAGGAGGGCTGATCACCTCTGAGTATTTGGTGGCTTTCTTTTTTTTTTATTGCTGGTAGTGGGGGTTCATTGTTTATTCATTGTTTTTAAAACAAAACAAAAATAGTGTGTCGTGACTGTTTGTTGTCAGAAAGTACTTCCACATTGCACTACAGATATATGAACAGGCACACAGAATCAGACCTGCCAGTCACTCCTGCTCATTTCATTGGGAAACCACCAGTGACTCAGGAGTGTTTTGCAAATGCCCCAGTGCAGAAACAAAACATTTATTTGATGTTACTCTCTGAGGGTTTTGTTTGGCGTTTTCAGCTCATCCTATTGCTCTAACTAAAGCTGGTTTGGGAGACTCGCATCCAGAAATGTATGTGCACCCACCTGGTTGATGTTGCAGGACCTGTTGCCAAGCAGAGGCTGTCCAGGTGGCTGTGTGGTTCTGGTGGTCAGTGGGTGGTGTCTAAAAGCTGAGACATTTTTCTGTGTTATTTGAGTGTTCTGGTTGATACCTGCCGCAAGCACTTAACTTTTACACTAAAGCATTACCTCACATTGAAATGTTATCAACTCTGTACCCCCATCTTTATATTTACCCCAATGTGCTGCCCCTCACCTCAGCTGTGCCTGCCCTAGTGTTGGTTGCAGTAAATGGCATCTAAAAAGTGACCTGGGTTTAAAAAACAAGTGAGAACCAAGCAAAGAACCAAACCAAACCAAACTATTCCCCAGGTACAGTTTCCTAACTAAATCAAGTTCCCTATGCAGTGCTCTGGAAAGCAGAATGAGTCAGTCCAGGGCGTTGGAGCATCTAGAGGGGATGGGCTGTGCTGAAGGGGACTATCAAAAGAGGTGTCCAAAACAATTGAGAGGTTGTCATCTTATGAGATCCAGATTGGGGCAGTGAAGTGGGTGGGAGAGGCTGCTGGCCTGGCTCCTTCCCTTCCACCTCCCCAGCTGTGCTGCTTGGAGCATGAGGCCACACTGGAAAATACGTTGCTTACACAGTGGTTTGAAACCAGCCCTTTTCTAATGAAACAAAGCCACAGAGTTGCTTCAGTGAAGTTTTCATGGGAGGGTTTTGTAGTGCTGGGCTGCTTGAGCAGTTCTTGAGCTGAGCTTGGTCTGACTCTGCTCCTTGTGTCTTGTTTCCTCTCCAGAATCGGCCGGCTTTTCGATGGCACAGAGCCCATTGTCCTTGACAGTCTCAAGCAGCATTATTTCATTGACAGAGATGGGCAGATGTTCAGATATATCTTGAATTTCTTAAGGACATCAAAACTCCTCATTCCTGATGATTTCAAGGTGAGATTTCAAGGGACTTGGTTGTTTTGCATGTACCTTGGTAAAGCAAGCATCTGGTGGTAGTCAAAACAGAGCCCTGAATAGGGATGGGGAACTTGCAGGGTATGGTGTTTGATTTCAGGTACATGGCAGAAGTAAGAATGGAGTTGCTAAAGTGGTGTCTTCCCTTTCTAGGGTGGCATCAATATTAAACTTTCCCCTTCTGGCTATTGTGGTAATACAGCAACCTTGCCAGATTTGACCTAGGAAAATTAAATGTACCATATTCATGGAAACAGATGTGATGTTACAATCTGCAACTGGCTGCTCATGAGCTTTCCTGATTGCTTGTCCTCTCATCCATTTTTATGCTTCCCTAGTGATTGCAGCAGCTCCAGTTTCCACTCCCACACTGAAATTCAGAAAATGGTGTGTGAATCACAATATTGACAAAATAAACTGCACACATGGTAATATTTGGGCATTAAGTCATAGAATCTTTTCTCCCTCAGATTCTTGAATGCATACTGCAAGTTTAATTTTGGAGTTCTAGAGAAGTCAGGAATTAATAGTTCTATGTTCTAATAGTTCATTTAGACTTTTTATTAAAGAGCCTGCTTTTTATTTCTTTTAGTAACAAGTTGAATTAGTGAATTAGTGATAGTTCATTGTCAGACAGAGCCTGCAAAGGTAGAGCTTTAGAACCCATGTGATCAGCTACTAGGTATGAGGGTGTATATGTGATGTCTTCAGTCAGAACAGATCCTTATCTTAATGATCACACATCAGTGCACCTGGTTCACTGTAGGAAATGCAGCAACTGGGATTGAACAAGAGAGGTGATGGGTGATGAGGCAGGGATGGAGCAGTTCACCCTGGTTTGCTGTCCTTTTGCTCTCATAGCTGAGGCAGTTTTTCAGGCATTTGGGCATAATACGGTGTGATACTGAGTTCAAGAGCTCTGTTTCAGCAACCTTTGAATCATCTGCTGTAGACACATCCTTGCTGCTCCCATATGTGACAAGGGTAGATCCCCCTGAATAATGTGGGAGTTTGGAGCTAACAGCTAAGCATCATTTCCTTCTTTTGAAGCCTTAGCATGACTTTGTGCTGCTCTTGGCACTTCTCCTGCAGGTAATCAGAAATAGGAAAAAGGAAAATGGGAAAAAGGAAAAGCCACCTTTCATGCAATATTAAGAAATTACATATGTAGAGCCTTTTAAACACATAAATGTACTGTAGCTGTGCTGAAATTAAAAATGTAACTCCTGGCAAGTTCACCCAACTGTGATGTTCAAAGGGGTGTCCTCCCCAGTTAGCTTTAAGGTGTACAAAAAAACAGTGATTAAAATGAACAGGTTCTTGTTTCCTAGAAACATATAGATTACATTACTTTTTTGTTACACAATAAATGTAAGCAGTATTTTTGCCATGATTTAGGTGTCCTCATCAAGTATTTGGCTTCTAGTTCACATTCAGGACCATATTGACTGTTAGCAGGCTTCTCTTGTCATTTTGTTTCACTCTCTTCCCTAATTCTCATGTATCTATTTTCTCTGTATAAATATTTTCCAAATGGTTTTATGCTCTTACACCTAGAAAAACAAGATTTTTTAAAAAAATGTTTTTTAAATTTAAAAAATGGCAGTAGGCAGACTCCACATCATTAGTTCTAAATTACTTCTGCAGTGGCTATGCCTAGAAATGCATTCCCTCTGCTCTAGCATTTGAGATGATGTAGTAAACAATACTAGTGGCAAAATAGGGAAGTATTAAAAAATACTTAATTTTTAAAATGCACTAATATGTGCAAACATTATGCAAATATCTGAATCATTTTACACTAACAACTATTACAGGCTCCCTCATTTACATTCTTATACCTGTCACAATGCCTGCTAGTATTGCTGTAAGACACAATGGATCCTAGTGATGAATTTTCTGAATCCTGATTGAATTCTGTTCCATCTGTTCAATGAGATCATTATTATATGACATCACTGTGGAGATGAAATATGGGAAAAAGTTGGATTTTTTTTTTGCAGAAGGGAGTTGAGCAGGCATAGCCTTTCCCAGCTCTTACAAATGCTGCTATATTCATTGTGTTTCAAATGGCTGATGGTTATTTTTTGCTTGCACTGTTACTTTATTACACCTTCCTACACAGTAATTAGGAGCTCTGTCTGAAGTGTTCCAGACCTGGAGCAGCGTTGGCCTGAATAACCATACACCTTAAGCACCACATTAGCAATGTCACTTTTAATTGTGCACAGTAATGTATGTGTCTTTCAGGACTACAGCTTGTTATATGAAGAAGCAAAATATTTCCAGCTTCAGCCCATGCTAGGAGAGATGGAACGGTGGAAACAGGACCGGGAGAGTGGCCGCTTCTCAAAGTCTTGCGAGTGCCTGGTGGTGCGAGTTGCCCCAGATCTCGGCGAGAGGATTACACTGAGTGGAGATAAGTCATTGATAGAGGAGGTGTTCCCAGAGATCGGTGATGTGATGTGTAATTCTGTCAACGCCGGCTGGAACCACGACTCTACACACGTCATCCGATTTCCGCTGAACGGATATTGTCACCTCAACTCAGTTCAGGTAGGAAGTCACGTGTGCATTTTTTGAGAGGGAGCTGCTGGTCAGGAACCAGCGGGCTGACCCTGTTCCATGTCACTGGAGCTTTTTGGTGAGCAGAATCAGCTGGAGGCTTTAAGCAAGTTATTTACATCTGTGTGTCGAGTTGTCTTTCCCCTTTTAATTCGCGTATCACCAAATCTCTTTGCAAACAAACTACAGTAGTGTTAGAATTTTCTGTGGTCATAGGGAAAACCCTTCACTTGCAGTGTTTGTTCCTGATTTTTTACAGCATAGTAGAGGCCTGTTGCAATTGATAGGACAAGGGGTAATGATTTAAACTAAAATAGGGTAGATTTTTACTAAATGAAAGGAGAAAAATTTTGTAGTGAGGGTGGTGAAACACTGGAACAGGTTGCCCAGAGAGGTGGTGGATGCCTCATCCATGGAAATATTCAAGGGTTAGGCTGGACAGGGCTCTGAGCAGCCTGGTTTAGTTAATGTCCCTGCTCATTGCAGAGGGGTTGAACTGGATCATCTTTAAAGGTGCCTTTCAACCCAAAGTATTCTATGATGCAGTGTAGCAATGTCTAATATCTGTAGATGTTACCAAATGGATAAGAAAAAATCTGGGAGACAAATGCAGGTAATTCCTGAAATAATTATAATCAACTTCAGTGTTAGTGTTATGTTTTTATCCTTTGTTGGGTAAAAGCAACTAGCCTCAGACACCTGTCTGCACCTAGTTAGGAAATCCTGCATAGCCAGTGCTTCCCATGTGGAATCATCAACAGCAAATTGATGCTGTTGGGTTTAAACACACCTCCTAAATGCTGCAGGCTCATGAGTGAATTCTTGTACAGAACAGGCTTGCAAGCTGAGCTTGGCATCTTTTCACCTGCCAGGTCCCACTGTCCATGTAGAGAATCACAGAGTCATTAAGGCTGGAAAAGATCTCCAAATCAACAAGTTCAGCCTTTGATCAAACACCACCACGTCAACTAAACCACGGCACTAAGTGCCACATCCAGTCATTTCTTGAGTGTTTCCAGGGATATGACTTCACCAATGCCCTGGATAGTCCATTCCAATGCTTAATCACCCTCATAGTGAAGAAATTGTTCTGATGTCCAACCCAGCCTGAATGTCCCCTGCTGCATCTTGAGGCCATTTCCTCTTGACCTGTTGCTGGCTTCCTGGTAGAAGAGCCCAACATCCGCAATAAGAATTACAAAGCATATTTACTGATGTGAAAAACCTGAGTCAGAGTGGCAAAATATGTACAGGCCTCAAGAGAGGTAATGGTCCCACACTGATAACAGGAACATGTAAGCACCTCCCAGTACTAATAGAAATGGGAGACAGGACAAGGACTACCAATAAACCTGAAGAATGAGGTACAGGCCAAATGGATTGTCCATGCCTGAGCTAGTTTCCAGAGTTGCTTCCACCACATTTTTTCTCAGGACCCAAGTTTTCCTGTTCTGTTTTTCAGTGGCTTGCACCAACACATTTGGGCAGGGGTGGGAGATTTTGGCATATAATGTTAAAAGCTAAAGATCACATGTGTTTTGATCGCTGTTTCCAAGTCTCTTTTCCTACCCCTTCCTTTTTGATATGACTGCTGGTCAATTAGCCATGCTTAAGTACTTTGGAAAGACATTTGCCAAGCTGAAGCATTTTATGTAAAGACATGGCATATCTTCTTTGAAGCACTTTTAAACCTCAGTTTGCTTCTTCCCCTGCACTAGTCCTTTGCAGCCTTCTGCCATTCTGCTTGCCAGTGTTGTCCCAGCACACATACAAGCCAATTTGGCAACTGGTGAAACAGCTGAGAAAGCCGTGGTAGGCATCTGATTCCAGCACAACCCTTGTGAGGTCTGGTCATGCTGAACAGAGGATCCCACATCCTCTGAGGTCCAGGAACATCAGCCCCTTCCTTGGGGCTGGCGGCTGTCAGGCTAACCCTGGTAAATCCCAGGAAGTCTCTTTCACAGGTGAAGGCAGAGGAACCCCAGAACAGGTGAAGATGATGATAAAAGTAACAAAGAGTTAGTTTTTAAGTGTCTAGTAAATATCATGGTAGGTTTTCTGAAATTATGACCGTGTTATCTACACTGTCACCATGTCGTTGAGGTGTTTGCTCAGCATCTGCTGTGCAATCATGTATTTGCCCTTTTGTGTTGTAAATTCTGTGAAGCGAGAATGTGTTTTTCTAGTCATGTTTCTGTGACCAGAAGAAGACTGGATTTGTTGGCAGTACTAAAAAATAAAATAAATTTTCCTTATTTTTTTCTTTTTCACTACTCAGTGGCCATAGTCATCAGAAATCAACCCGGTACTATTAAGTTAAGCTATGTAACCACTCTTTTTTTTCCCTGGCTGAATCCATTTAAAAACAGCAGTTATTATTGTTGGACAGCAAATAGTCTGTTTATTCACTTATAAATTGCTGTTTGTTTCCTCTTTTTTTGCAGGTACTCGAGAGGTTACAGCAAAGAGGGTTTGAGATTGTTGGCTCATGTGGAGGTGGGGTGGACTCTTCCCAATTCAGTGAATACGTACTAAGACGAGAACTCAGAAGGACATCTCGTGCACCCTCTGTCATTCGAATAAAGCAAGAGCCTCTGGACTAAAATGGACATGCTTCTTTATGCAAAAAAAAAAAAAAAAAAAAAAAAAAAGAAAAAAAAAAAGGAAAACAAAGAGGAAAAAAAAGAGGGGGACATTTCATGTGCAGTTTGGACTCCAAACAAGTCCTGGAACTAAAATTGAATAAAAGACACATTTATATCAAATATAGAGACCACACCTGAATTCATATGGGAACACTTGGAATAGTAGTGATAATAATAATAATAAGCTCAAGGTATAAAAGAAAACACACACACACATAAAAAAATATGTATGTATATGTATGTCTGTACATATATATATGTATGTATATGTCAAAGGGTAGGAAATGCAATGGCAAAATGTGGTAGATGAGGTTGGTGCTGTGATGGCCATTAAGTGTCCTAGGCCCTTCCCAGGCCCACTTGAGGGTGTACAAGCCATTTCCAGGGGGGGATTCATAGACTACTCTTCACCCATTTTCATTGCCAAACAGCCATCCACTTTTTAATGTGTATACACCTTGACTCAACTTTATTTGCATATGGAGGTTTATGTCTGTCTTTTTTAGAGGTGGATGGGCAGGTGTTCAGGAGACAACCATCCATTGCATTGGAAAGCTGAAATTTTAAATGTAGTTTGTACAGAAGTCGCACACTTTTTGTCTGCCCTCACAGATGTGAAAGGTTAACTTTTCTTTTGAATGAGGTTTTTTTGTTGTTTTGTTTTGTGTTTTTCAAAGGGGGCCAGAATAATTAATATTTGGTAGAGATGCTCTGGTTTGAATCTGCTGCTTTCCTACAATTTTTTCAAATTTTATAATGTATTAAATACAATAAACTCCTGTTTAAAATAACAAGGGTCTGGTTTAAGCCAACAGAAGCAGAGAGGTGGGATTTCACTGCACTCCAGCATGTAGAGGGGCAAGGCAGTGAGCAGGCAGTGCTGCCTGCACAGGGTGGAGCGAGTTAAAGGCAGCAGAGGCTGTTGAGGGATCTTCTGGTGTGGTGCACATGGCTGCTGTTCCTTCAGCACTATCTCTTTTAACCTTTGTCCTAGTCGGAAGAGAGGCTGTTGGTCAGACCTGAAAATAACACTGGCTCAGCCCAGGGAAACCCATCAAAAAATGACATCTGGTTCTGTAACCTTCCGTGTGACAGTGAATCCTTGCATCATTCCCCCTTGATTAAGGAGTTGGCAGCTTTGACTCTCCAAGCCCTTGCCTTGCTGAGTGTTAGTCAGCCTGTCTGGTTTTCAGGTTGCTCATTTTCCTCGTTACAAGCCATTGTTCTTCTGCCTAGAGAGTGACATGGCCAGCCCCTTGAGTTACCCATCGGCTGCGTGTCCCTTGGTAGCAGACAGTAAATCTACATCCTGCATTAGATGTCCTGTGAGCTGCTCTCTTGCAGAGTCTCACTGAGGCCACCTCTGCAGGCACCAGCTCCAGGCCTGTGAGATTTTGCAGAGGTGCCACATCCTGATGCCACTGCATGGACAGCTCATGGGTTGACGCACCAGCAACCACCACCTTTCCTCCAAAGTCTCTTTTTATGCACTGTTACAGAATATGACTGTGTGTTCATCCTAGTATGGAAATTTTTATCAACAATGGTGCTGGCGTTCCATTCATTTTGGTGACACTTTGGTATTTATTTAAGAAAAGAAAAAAGAAACTGTTAGATACATGTAACAACATTTTTTAATATTGTCTGATAACTAAAAAAAAAAAAACAAGTTACATTTTTTTCTGTTTTTTATTAAAGATGTCTGAGGACATCTTTAACTGGCAGCACATATCAATGGTTTGGAATTACTGAAATGTGAAAATGGGTGAGGGAGGGGGCTCTAAAAATTAAGGTTCATTAGCAGGCTATTAGATCTTCAATGTGATGCTGATCTGTCTATTCACAGTACTGAAACAGCTGCCTCATTGAAAATGCTTGTTTTCAATCAGCAGCAAGAAGTCCTCTTACAAAATAAACAAATGCTTGCTCTTACTGCCCACAATTTGGTTGTTAGTCTGCATAGAAGTTGGAAAGCTAAAACCCAGGCAAATAAATATTTTTAACAGATCTTCAAACCGTTGAAAGTGATGAAATTTGTGATGTCGAAAAGGATGCTGGTCCCCGTGGGTTTGAGAGTACACAAGTACCAGTGCAAGGTGATGTGATTCTTCAGAGACTGCTGCGCAGATCCTCTCATGCATCCTGGTGGAGCTGAACTTTCTGGGGCCTCCACAATGTCTCAGGGGATGTGTTTACACTCTCTGTTCGGCCCAAAGGTATTCCCACATTCAGACCTGCCCTGCTGGCCCCCATCTGTGCATATGGGCTTATGTTCCAATGCAGGCTGGAGCTGGGGGGAGTGCAGCTCCTTTCCCTGCTCTTTGGTGAGCAGGCACCAAAAGCCTGCCTGGCCAGGAGCATCAGCAGCCCCAAAAGTATCCCTCCAGTGCTGGCAGGGCCCACACTGCCAGGCAGGGTGTGGAAAGCGAGGAGCTTTGCCTGCAATGCTTTCCAACATGTGGCTCCTAAAGCCAGCAGGTTGTGCTCTGCTGGTGGTTTTGCTTGCTCAGCATGTACCTGTCCAAGTCAATGACCTTGAAGATACCACTGTGCTCCTCCCAAATTTTCAGCTGGCTGGTCACCCTCTCAGCAAGCCCGCTTTTGTTGTTGATGGAGTCAAAAATCACTCTCAGACCTGGATGTAAATGTTTCTGCTGTTACAATGTGGTCATGGAGTAAGAGGTCATGAATATTCAAACCAATGGCTGATTAAAAATGTATGCAGGAATAAACTGGCTGTAGATTTTTAGAGAGCAAATGAGATTAGTCCAGTTTGCAACTGAGTTTTATAACCATGTGTTTTTAAAATGTTCTTTAGAAAAACTGATCAACAAAAAAATAAGCAATTTCTCCAGGAAAGTGAGGGGAATGGGAGAACCAAGAAGGACCAGATTACTGTCAGCTTGTTTCTGGAGGTTTGTAATTTTGGCATCTAAGTGTATCTGTTTTTTTATTAGAAAGTGTTGACTCCATTTTATGCCATCAGTGGTGCTGTGTTTAATAACAAGAGGCAGAGCTGCAGTGAGCAGTAGCTGCCAATGTTGTACTTCAGCAAGTTGGTTAAGCAGCTGCCAGGAGAACTCTTGCAGACGTGCAAAGATTGCAGATGGCACCAGCTCCCCTTCCCAGAGTGAGACACAGGCAGAGGAATTTGGTCCTCACCTTTTCTTTGGGTAATGCAAATGCTGGATTTCTGCAGTAACCATCGACCCAGGGTTTACTTCTTCCCGTCACCTCCTTAATGTACCAAACAGCTGTGTAATGTAAGTATGGATCCTGGCATGCTTGGACGAACGTTAAAACTGAGTGTCCTGTTGAAGACTGAGCTAATTTACTCTGTGCTACAGAAAGTGAAGTCCTGCTTTGTCCCTGGGTTGATCTCTCTTTCCAGAAGCAGTACTGGTAAGTAGGTGCTGCTGATTTATTCTGTCTTCAGGTACATACTAGCCAGGCAGTCTGGCCCAATGAACGTTTTCCCTCTCCATTGCCACATGTCTATAGAAGGAAGCAGATTATCTCAGTGCTTGACTGGCAACAAGCAAGTCGAGTTAACACATTGTTTTATGATGCCCGCTAAAATGCATAACGAAAACCAATGGAGAAAACTTAGTAAACTCTGAAAACATGAAAGTTGAGCCACCCATTCAATTATTTTCCTTTATGCTGAACAGGCACTGAATTCAATTTGAAGTCAAACATTTTGTTCATAAGCATAATTTTTTGCAGCAAGCTTTAAAAATTGATTTCTATACTAATTACAGGGTTTTTACTGCCACCCAAATGAGTTGTCAAGTGAATTTTTCTTTAATGTTTCCATTGCATGACTTGGGGGAGGGGGGGGAGGGTTGGATTTTGGGGGGTGAGAAAAGCATTTTTTTTTGACCAGTGGTCAGTTTTTCAGAGAAATAAAAACATCTATTTCCATCTGTCATTTCTTCTCTGAGGAATTCTATATTATGAATTATTTCTATGGACAACTGGTATTTGTATGTTGGCATTCAAGCTGCCTGAGGTTTATTTACAGTGGAAATGAAACCAAGACATCCTTAGGGCCTGTAGACCAGTTGCTTTTTCTCAGACTTCAGTTTGAGTGGTTTATTATTTCTTGAGGGTCTGGAGGGATCGCCACCACCAAAAATCAATATGTTGCACCAGGTCCCAGTGTTGGCTTTGGCTGCTACCCCATTGATCCATTTTTTTGAAGACCCCAAAACTCACTTAGCACATGGGATCCTCTATTTGAGACTGAAACTACTAAAATCATAGCCCTAACTCCTCTTAAAAAGAAGAAATGCAGGCACACAGTACACAAGTTCATCCTCTTACAAGCTGAGCTAGCTCTGCTAGCTGATAAGCAGGATGTTAACATTGATGCTGTGGGGAAACCATAGTGCTAGCCCACTGAAGCATCTTCTATATGCATAAGTAAGAGCTCCAGAAATGGAAATGTCCTCTGACAAATGGAGAAAAACCCACTTCTCCTTGAATAAAGTTTTTTTGTTTGTTTGTGTTTGTTTTTGTTTTTTTGGTTTTTTTTGTGTTCCACCCCCACCCCTGACATTTTTTGACTAGGGACCTAATAGGAGTCCCATGCCCCTAAAATAATAAGGGGGTTAATATTTTTCAGGTGATGTAGGGGATTATGGGCCAGATCCCATCTTCTGCCCTCCATATTCATGGTGAATTTGCCTCACACTCCACTCAGAAGCCAAAAGGATGCAGTGTAGTCATGGGCTGTCAGTGTCATTGCATCCACAGCAATAATGTCATCTCTGTTGTTTCTAAAAATACAGTATTTTCCACTGCAGGTCAGAGGAAGCATAGGTTGATGAGACTCTTTTCTCTCAGCCTTATTAAAGCCCTATATGCATGAGTTCTCCTCTCTGGAGAGGCTGTCACTAGCATCAGCAGGCTGGATTTGTGCTTCTTGGGAAGCATGGAGTGCTGGTACCCATTCATCCCTGTCTTGTGGTCCTTGGAGCACAGCTCTGGCTTGCT